AAAAAATTCATAACGAAGTGGAGGCAGAGGAAAAGAACACTAATAACTATAATACATGAAAACATGGCACAACCGAAGGAATTATGGGTGTTAAGGGAACTCTCTGAAAGAGCATCTACTCCAAACTGTTTCCAGCTGGCAACATGACGCCCCTGAGGAGAGGCAACAGAGTGATCCCAACAAATGAACAGCACGGGCTGAGGGAAGATAGAGGTTAAGGGCAACACCAGGGTTGGACGAAGCAGTCCGGTGGTGTGGTAGATATCTATTGTTGTTTTGGTGATCCAAGTCAGAACTCCCTTCCTGTTTCTGGAGAAGCCCTTATCTCCCAAGTGGTGGGAGGAGTGAGGCAGGAGTGAGGCCTCTCCCACTACCCAAGGTAGAACCAGAAGTTCCCTCTCCCACGGGCAATGAGGGGTAGGTCTACAATCCAGCAATGATGAATCAGACGGCTTATTTCTGGGATTTTTGAATGTCAAGGATGACCAAATATTCAACCACATCTGGAGTCCCAGCAGTGACAGAACTGAAAAATACAGAGGAGGGGAAGGCCATGGTGAGTCCCTACCAGGCAGTCCTAGGGTATGTCCTTGGCTGCATCTCCTGATGTATTTTCAGAAGATGTGTGAACCACCTTTCTGTAGATGTGCCACCTATCCAGTATACTCTCAATAAATATCTTCTGCTTATGATAGCAGTAATCAATTTCCATTTCTTATAACCATGAACCCTGATGACAGTTGTGGTTATTATAACCATCAGGATGCGGGTGCTGAGGGCTTGATACAAGGCAGAGATGGGGGAGATGAAGAGAAGGAGATACATTCAACAGATAGCGAGAAGGATAAAGTGCCAGGTAGATGCTGAGGATAAAGGAAAGGTCAGGTCAAGGGCAACTTGTGGATTTGTAATTTGAAGCCAAAAAGACCAAAAATCAGTAAAAATACAAAATGACTATCAAATTTGTGAAGAGTAGAAAATGATGGGCTCAGTATACACATATTGAATCTGAGGTACCTATATGACATTCAAAGTATGGTGTGTTCCAGGCTGTTGGCTGTGCAGATGGCTCTGAGAAGAGCCCAGGTGGGAGGGCTAGGAGATTAGAAACAACAGCTAGAAAACGGAAAGGAAATTGGAAAGGCATTGTGCCCTAGGAACCAAAGAAGGGACTTAGGATGGCAGGGACACTGGCCTCCTAGTGTCAATTGCTGCAAAAAAAAAAAAAAAAAAAGTCATGTAAGATCAGGACGAAAATATGAATGCTGGATCACTGGAGGTTTAGCACCTGGGAAGTCACTGGTAATTTCAGCGATTTCAGTGGAGTGGTAGAGAAAAAGGGTTCAGTGGGATGAAGGATAAAACAGAGAAAGTAGGAACCATGCAAAAGTTACTGTTTTTAAAGGGCTCATTTTAAAGGACAGATAAATGTCTAAAATTGAACAAAATATTGAGGTTTACCTTTTAAAAATGGAGATCATTCAATTTATAAAATATTGAATGATCACCTATTATTGGGTAGGTTTTGGAGATACAGCGAAGAATAAAACAAACATGGTTTTACCCTTTAGAGCTTCTGGTTTAGAGAAGAGATGCTAAACAACATGGTGAGTGCCAGCGAGGAAAGGAAAAGGTGCTCTGAGGAAGGACAGTAAGGGATCCTAATTTAGGTTCAAGGTTCAAAAAAATCCTCTAACCAGGAAATGATCAGGAAAAGGAGTCAGGTGGGGAGAAGAATATTTCAGACAGAAAGACCAGCAAGTGCAAACACCCGGAAGTAGGGAGCTTGAGCATGTCTACACACAGAAGAGAAGGAGCCAGGGAAGACGTGAGGCCGACTGGCGCAGTGAGGCGCCCGTGGTGGAAGGAGTGGTCTTCTGCAGTGAGAAAGACACATGTTCCATAGACACCGGGAGGGTGGGTGTAGGTGACGGTGAGCCTGTCAGTCTGGAAGTAGGAATTTGAGGGAGTTGTCTAATGGCCACCGGTTTCTTTGTGAAATAGCAGGGCTGGTGAGGCGTGAACAAACTGGGCCAGGTGGTGGTAGGAAATGCTATTATAGGCAATGGAGGAGGAGCTGACTCACTCACAGCTCAACCTCTACTCTTTTCCAAGCCCTCTCAAGGCAGCCCCTCCAACTTTCTGGTACCAAAGTTCCAATAACCAGGGCCAAAGAGCTCTGGATATCAGGATGCTTAGCACTACAAAGGTCCTCAGAGATCTTAACTGCTATTCATTTTTCCTACTACCTAATTAAGTAACTCAACAGAAAACAACTAAATGCCAAAACCATGACCATCAACTTATCTCCTCAGGAAGCCCTCATCCATTGGATGAAAACTGTTGAGATCTTTCCTTTTAACGGCTTCCCTTTTTAATTTTTTTAAAGTGGGTTTCTCCCTTCATTTCTCTTGCTTTTCTATCATTTTATGCCTGGATATCTTAAATTATTCAGCTTTTAATAAAGTGAGGCCTGGATTATTTTTCTCGGTGTAACATCCAAGCACAATCATGTATTCATCTGTAAGTACACAAACTTAAACCAATTCTTTAGGAGGTGGCTATAGACTCAGGATGGAAGTTCAGCACTCTTGGCATGGAGTCAACTACGTTCTAAGCTATGAAGGCTTAACAATATCCCCAGTCATTTGCTTCTACATTCATAAATATGTTGGCCTCCAAGGGCCTCTGAATCTGACTTGATATTTTTTTCAGATTCAACCCCAAACAAAGTATACTAGTTTCACACTGCAGTTCAGAATAATGACTTAAAAATATCTCCCTCCACAGCAAATCAGGCATGAAGCATCTGAAGACAATTTTCTTGCAATGTAGACATTGTAAAGAGCTTGTGGTGATCTCACACAGAACGGGATACATAAGTCTACAGTAGAAAAACAAAAGCTAAGGAGAAGGGAAAGGAGGATAGAGTTAGATGTTATTTACACAGCACAGCTCCTTTCATAGACATCTGAGTGGAGGTCCCAGATCCCAGCCAATCGCCAGCCTGGCGAGAGCTCCCAGGACATACATGAGACACACACACCACATGCACACAGACAGACACTCATCCTTTACCTCCTGGCAGAAGCTACAATGATTCCATCTATTAATAAAGTATTTGATCAATCTCCCTCAAGAGTTATTTCATATCCTACCCTAACTGCCATCAATTTACAACTCTAGCACCTCATATGATCTTAAAAGAAACATTCTGGGCTTTCTGTAAGAAGCGTGGAGGCCAGGTAATTTGCTGCTGATTTATAGAATGAAAATGACAAGTGGAGGTAAGATGAGGAACAAGTAGGAGAGGGCCCATTAAGGGACCTCCTGACACTCATTTTCAGGCTTACAACCAGAAAGCTAACTGGGCAGGAGGAAAGATGTGGATGGTGCTAGAGAAATGTATAATATACTTTGGGATACTGTTTTTCTACTTTCTCCCCTCACCCTTTTTACTCAAAGGAAAAACAAAACAAAACTAAACTAAACTAAACTAAACTCGCTTTGGAAAAAGTACCAAGTGCTACTTGTCATTGATAAAATTGACCATTGGGGGGACAGAAAGAGACTCTGGGGTGATGGGCACCCGATGCAGTTTGCTGATGATGTTTTATTGAATTGTACATTTGAAACCTGCACTGCCATAAATTCAATAAAGTAAAAAATATACATTAAAGAAAAGTTCACCACTGGATTCTCTCAGCCCATCTCCTCTTTGCCTTCCTTTGACTACTTTCGACTTACTATAAACTGCTGTTAAAAAGACAAGAAAGAAAAGGATCCATCATCAAGACGGAGGTCACGGCAAGGAAACGTTAATCCCCCAAGTTCCACATCAGGCTCAAAAACAATGCTCCCGGCTGTCGTTTTTATTCACACCAGCCCCATATTTCTTATTAAACAAACCTCTTTTTTCCGACTGCTTCCCCCGCACGGCATAAGAAGGTAAACGTCAGCCCACAGAGATGACATTAGGAAGCACAGAGCTTTTACTGAAGGAGGGGAGTCAGTAAAAGACAGGAGAGGACACCTTCCCAGGGCTCTCCCTCACTGAGAGCTACCACAGGGAGAAAAAACCAGGGGGCTCCTTTCTGCTCCTCAGGCTCCCACAAGCTGCTGCGATTGACTTGAAATTTACCAGTTGGCCAAGGGGCTACTTGAAAAGAAAAGAAATTTCACAATCTTGAACATTCTGCTCCCTTACTCTAATTTCCCCCAACTATCCCGACTCCCACCCTCACGTACAAGAGTACTTTTGTATACATAAAGTTTCAGGAAACAAAGCATGCAAACACTCACACACAAATAAACTCCACGAACTAACACCAGCGTATAATTGTGTTTTGGTTGGAGCTTTTCCAGCCTTGTCACCCGTTCTGTGTTAGGAGTAAATGAAACCCTTTGCTTTGGCAAAGTTAGAAACAGACAAAGTTAGAAACAAACTCTCCTCAGTTTCAAGCTGCACAAGGCTCCAGTCATATCTCTTCAGCCCCCAACAAAATGAATTCGCTGCTGCAAAGCCAGCAAGGAAAAAAAAAATATTCCCCAAATAGCTTTCACTCCTCCCCCTCCCTCAGCTTCCCCTTTTGGCCTGAAACACCCAGCGTTTCCAATTGCTGAAGCCCTTTTCAAAAGACCCTCGACTCTACCAGGGGACCCGGCTGTGGGCTGTCCCAATGCAGGCGGTGCTTTTCCAAGCACACTTTGCATTCTCGGAGTCTTTACTGGGGCCGTTCAGTTTCCAGAGAAATCTAAAAAGCAGCCTGTAGTGGGCTGGCTGAGCTAGGTCTGACTCTTCCTTCCATCCACTGGGACGGGCTGCGGGGAGGGAAGCGTACAGGATTTGGCAGATGCAGCTCCAATAGAGCCGTGAGGGAGCCGGGAAGCGAACAAAATACCCACCGCTTACTCTAAGACTTTCATCTGCTCCTCTACTACGCCCTTCCTCCACATTCCTCCGTAAAAGTTGGCCGGTCCCCGAGAAATCAAAATCATACCTTCCTTGGATTCTTCTGCTTCGGCGTGCATGGTGTCAGGGTCACCCGCCTTCTGGGTTACCTCTGAGATTGCACTCGGACCCGCCGCAAGTTCAGTCAGCAGCCAAAACCCCCGACACCACGGAAAATAAAAGGAAAGAAAGCCACTAAAATCAAAACCTCCCCGGGGAGGGAGGGCTGGTTCTGGTGCAGAGATTTTAAGGGGGAAAGTTCTGCAAGAGTGACGAATCGCGTCTCAGCTGGGCGGCAGGAGTCCGCCCCCGGGGCGAGCGCAGCAGCCCGTCCCAGGGCGGAGGCAACCTGGCGGGGCTGGCGGGGCGGCCAGGGGCGCGCGCAGGTGGGGAGGAGGCCCAGACCACAGCCTGGCTCCCCGGGAGGAGGCCAGAGGGGTGCCGTGGGCAAACGAAACAGACAGGCTAGGCCAGTGAGATACTTGTGCAATAAAGGGGAAGAAAAAGGCTGATCGCAGCGTGCGCTGTAGAAATAGTCAATGTATTGGCAGTAAAAGAAATACTTCTGAATCTTTGGGTTACATTTTGACTCTCATTTAACTTTCCTTGTGGTGGGGGTCTTACGCGCCAAAAATTACGGATTTTAAAGCTGCTTGGTTTTATACGTTAATTTTTTCAGGGAAGTAACGTAGATATTGGTCCATGTGACTGGAAGGACCTGCTTCACAGGCCCAAGAGGAGGGCCTTTTGAAGAAAGTGGGGACAGCCTCCACCCCTTACCTTCGCTCGGGAAAAGCAGACAAGGCGGCTTACTCACTCAGAGTAACTGGGGCGAGCTCGCTCCTGGAGGCGCTTAGCTGCCCTGCAGCCACCCCAAAGGGCCATCCTCAGAGAGAGCGCCATTCCCTCCCCAGCTACTCAGAACCACCCGGGATAAATTCCTTCAAAACGCCAAAGGCAGGGTGGGGTATGCAAAATACTAATCGAATAAAGAGGCTGGAAAGCCTTGGGAACAGATCTCGATTCTGCCCCCTGGTCCGGCCCACAGCTCCTGAAGTTGGCTGAGAGGAAGGCATTTTAGCTTCATAAAGCCTTAGTTTTTACTTCGGAAAAGTGGGGACAAGAGCTGCCACGGAATACCTTACAGAGAGATTCCGCAGAGCACCAGTTTTATTACCAATCTAAGGCAAACAGTCCTCAAATAATACACTCAAAAGACCGATTAGGAAACTGTGAGAAATGTTATATTCTTTTAATAAATTTATTTCCCAGCTGCTTTCTTTGTCCTCATTTCCCATTTTTATGTGCGGAGGGGGACTCAAGAGGAAAGGCACTATGATAAACTTAATAAAAAGGACATACAAAAGACATGGATTTAAAGAGTCTGAACTAAAATTTAGTTCTGCCATTTATTATTTGTATGACCTTGAGCAAATTACTTAACCTCTCTGAACCTCCCTTTTCTCATCTGAAAATAAGGATAAAAATAGTATTATTTACTTCACAGATTTATGTTTGGTATTAAATAATATAAACAAAAAGTGATTTGAAAACCATAAAGTACAATGCCAATTATTACTATCACACCATTAAAAGTAATTTTTGTAAAATACACTCAGGTTTTATAATGGGTTTGAACAGGAAGGTGTTTATGCAATTCACAAGCAGTGAAGGCTATTATAAATATTAATATAAGGCCTAGATATTAAACCACTTCCAAATGCTGAGTGATTCTAACATGCCTAGGACCACAAGCAGAACTTTATCTCAACGTCACTGAACGGGAAGGATGACGAGAGGAAGACATAGCTACGCAGAGAGGAGGGAAGAGGATAAACATCTGGAAAATATCAGTATTGCAGAGCCTCCCAGAAACTGACCTCACCACCAAAAGGGTAACAGGCTGCTCCCTTCTGAAAGTTGCAGTGCATTGTGTGTTCCCACTGCTGCACATCCTGGGGTAGCAACTGCTAAGATGTGTCCTCCTACCCAGTAACTTCAGATTTATGGAGGAGACAGGAGGATCATTCTGAATCCAAAGAAATTCTCCCTCACCAGTCAGAAGTGACCTTTCCTGTCCTGTCCAAGGAAAGGACATTCTGAGACCCCCCCTGCCACCATCTGTCCTCGCCCTCCCCCACATCGGCCCAGCTGTCCACCCAGAGTCCACCCAGATCTCACCAGGACTGTGCACTACACAGATAAAACAGTTCCCATTCATCTAGAACTGGAGAAAGGTGCAACATCTTTTCCAGGTGATGATTTTGCAAAATCAGACAATCCAAATTCCAGGCCCCATCTGCCACAGGCAGAACTCATTTTCAACCTCTTCTTTCACCAAGTGCCCCCCCAAAGAATTACTTATTCAATGTCCTTCTGCAAGCCCAATTATGTACAAACCACATAAGGTATACCAAACTACATGTCCATAATGCCCTACTTGTTTTTCCACGGGGTTCACAGAAAGGCCTTCAGCCCCGCTCAGGTTAGCCAAGGAGAACAACTGCTGAATGGACAGTTCAAACACTGCTATGTCAGCCTTGAAATTCAACTCAGAGTCATTTCAGCAACTCAGGTGATCTTTGAACATTCACCATGATCCTCAGAAACCTGGAGAGAAACTTAATGTCCTGATCTAGATGAAGTGGAAGGAATGCTCAGCTTATTTTTAAAATCGTATGTGGATAAGGATGCTCCTCAGGATAATCTCAAAGCTCTCTATCTGCTCTGGGTATTACACTGCCCCATGCCCCCGCCCTGCAAAATGGTGACAAAGGGCAGTTTATTCTCTGGGGCTTCCAGATATGTATTAGGTCAGTCACTTACTCTTGACTTTTCTCTGCATTTATTCAAAAGGGGATGTTACTTTTTAGTTCTAGTGAATTTGTTATCTCTTGTAGGTGGAGCCTGTTCATTCTTCTGTGTCTAAGAAACACTCCAACATCACTTAGTGTGGCTTGGGATATTCTTGGGAGTCATACCAACAACCTATTATAAACAACCTGATACAAAATAGCAACTAAGTTAGCAACACTTCTCATTTAATACCAAACTGCATTTAAATATTATGTTGAACTCCAACCCAAGTCTAATAATGAATTTCCCATCTTCTGTGTCAAATAGGAGAGTTAAAATGCTGAGGTTCTAATGTTTTCTTTTTCAGTCAGTCATTGTCAAATATTTACATGCATCACAGGAAAAAGGGCCCCACTCATGTGGAGCTTACTGGTATAATTTTGGTAATTTTGACCACAGACAAAGAACTCAACCTTCCCTGTCGCCTTGGTTCTAAGAAAGGTTTATTGATAACACATTTAAACTGTACTTTATCACAGAGCAGCAGAAACATCTTGTCTTAAATTTTACCTCAAAAAAGCTGTTAAAAATTTTTAAAAAAGTCTGGGCTTTTGGGCCTTTTGCTTACAGCTGCCTAGACATGTGTTAAGAACAGGAGAGGTCAGCAAGTTACCAGACTCACACAAATGAGACCAGCAGGGCTGGGAAGAGAAGGTGCAGTTTATTCAGGAGGAATCACATTCTCTACTCACATTCAAGAATGGTGTATATTCCCTGCAGTGAAAAATACTGAGCATCATTGTGAATTAGTTATAAGACATACCTACAGCTTCCAGGTCATAAGAAACCCAGGTCACAAAAGAGCCATTTCATCAATATTTTTATTTCTACCCTGCTTATAAGAGGCTGTACATTAATATTGTTTATACTTGGTATAAAAAGTAGCTTTCTTCTATTTGACTTTGAGGCTTTCCTCAACTTTTCTTGCACTATGTTTATACCTTTGATAATTTTCTGAGTACAGGTCTTCTTTTACATCTTTGGTTGGATTTATTCCTAGGTATTTTATTCTTTTTGAAGCAATTGTAAATGGAATTATTTTCCTAATTTGCCTTTCTGATAGTTCATTATTGGCTTATAAAAATGCAAAAGATTTCTAGATATTAATTTTATATTCTGCTACTTTACTGAATTCATTTCTCAGTTCTAGTAGTTTCCTGGTAGAATCTTTAGGGCTCTCTATGTATAGCACCATATCATCTGCAAATAATGACAGTTTATCTCTATATCTTTGAAAGGCTTTGAAGACTTCCATAATCTATATATAAAATTTGTTTTCAATCTCTGCCCTCACTGTAGAAAAGATCTGCGTTTTCGGTCTCACCTGGCTGGGGTGGCAGGCTGTGCATCTTTCTCATCCTCCTCAGACACTCTGCTGTATTTAACCTTCCAAAACAGAGGCGGGGCTCAGAGGATGTCTCTCCACAGCCCCTGCCTGGCCCAGGGGATCTCACTCTCCTTGCCTTAAGATTTGCTTACCAGAACTTCAGAAGGGGACAATCAAATGACAGCAGAGGTCACTTCTGCGCCTTCTCAGGAGGCCACACCCTGTGTCTCAAGAGATTTTCTGATTACCATTGCTGGGTACTGGGTTGAGGCTGGGGAGTTTGGGGCCAGCGGAATAAGGGTGAACTGAACTGCTGTGGATCCAAGAAGGACGCTGAGGGTGAGTGTGGAGATGGAGGAGGGAGAAAGCTGCCTCCAGTGCCCTGAGTGGGAGTTTGAAGTTTGTTGTCGGTAAACCCTCTCCACAGTGGCACCTTCAGTAAATCCTCCATGCTCACTCAGGCTCTGAGCATGCGTGCAGAATTCCGAGGGAATGGCAAGAAGCGACATCCGAGGTGAGCAAGCACATGGGGACTACCATATATCGGGGGTGCAGTTGTTTCCCAGGCTTTCAGTGTTGGTACTTATTTCTCACCTAAGAAGTCTTCCTTGCTAAAAAGTTTTTAACAGATGATTAAACACACACACACACACAATCAGGTCTGAAAATAATATCTGAAGCATTTGGGACCTATCGTCTTTCTTTTATAATACTTAGCAATGATGCCTTCCATTTATATAGGCTTCATTCGGACTTCCCAGTTAGCTCCCGTGGGTCATCATACCCATTTTACAGACACCTAATTAAAAAAAAGGGAGGTTATGATTTGCTTAAGTCACAAAACTAAGTAATAATGTACTTTAGACTACAGTAAATGAAGTCAGTCTCGGCCTCCTGTCTCCAATATCCAGACTTTCTCACTCTATTAAACTACTCATGTAAAATTCAAGTCCTTTATTTTGCACAAGAATAGCTCAAAGAGTGCTATATTGGGAGATTTCCAAAGATTTTGAGCTGGCCATAATTCTAGCATAGACTGCTCTAATTGCT